CAAGGTAGTTCAGACCATCAAAGGGAATAACAGCCATGGGAAAACTCATATCCATTCCCCCACTCACTCCATTGTGGCTCCCTGAAATCTCTGAAGTGGCAGAATTCTCAGATGACATGGTCAAAACAAATAATCAGTCCCAAACACCGGACTTAGGACCCCTCCTTACTCCACAAAAAAAATGCTCCACTTAGTCCACACCCACACACTTGGGTTTGAAAACAAGCTGAGCACAAACAATACCAATTTCAAGACAAAACAGAGGCAATATTCGRCAGATTTCAGACCTGTACGGTTTTAACAGTCCCAACCTACCAGCCTTCCAAAATGTCTAAAACCATTAATCAGCAAGAGAGATCCTTACCACTTATAATCAAGTCAAATTATTGAGATGACAGGTCATCCTTGACCTACAGTCGTCTTAACACATGAAGCCAAAAAAACAGAGGTATACAGATCCGACAGCATTCAGCAGCCCAGATTCATTTTGGTTTTTCACTTGGTACACGACCAAGGAGGGTAAAGAAGAGAAAACGGAAGAACTATACCAGTTGTAGAGTTGTTTTCCTCAGTCCAGATTCAGATCTCTGTTCCACCCAGATTCAGCAAGTCTATTCGATCTGTTCTCTCAGTGAAGTTTGTTCGATATGCTCTCTTTAGTCAGTATTCCTACTCTGATACCATCTTGATAGTATGGCCGGCCATAAATAAGAGGAAGAGAAGAGAAGGGAAGAAGAAGAGAGAAGGAATTTGCAATGTAACAGTGTTGGCGGCGCCAGCTTTTATTATAATATATATAGGGCACCATAAATAAGAAGGGAAAAGACCCTTGTGCCCCTGCTATAAGTGAGTACAATAACAAACATAACAAAAGTGAAAAAATAGAAATAAAAAACACTTTAACTAGCCAAACAGACCCTAACACCAACAACTAAATTATTTCAACAGTATCATTGAGTTTTTTACTTTTTCATTCATCTTGTTTAAGGTAATACTATTGTTTTGATATCTCGGATATCTTAGGGGATGCTCATGGGAAGAACGAAAAATACCTCTCAAAATTTAAACCTAAATTTTCTACTAGGACTGGCATGCACGCACACAAGAAAGAAGACTATTAAATCAATTACTAGTTTTTAGTCTGCATAACAGACTCTTCCAAATGGTTTTGCACAGAAAACCAACAATGAAAAATAAATTCCTTATAGCCTTAACATAGAAATCTAACAAGAAACGAATTAAGTAATAATTACTCTAAAGAAGAAAAATACCGTGTTGCGTTTTGACATGGTCCTTGTAAGTTGTGCAGCAACACCAAAATCACCTGATCAACATGTTCCCAAATCCAGACATCATTATCATCAGTTTGTAAACAAAAAAAAAGATCCTAGATATTTCTGCTTCACACTGTGGATAGTAGGATAGATTGCTAATAACTGAATTTGAAGATTTTTGCCAGAGGTGCATGCATCCAAACTGTTGTTGCAGATCATATTTACAAGACTCTTTATGCATGATAAGAGGGAATATCAATGCCACTCAGTAGCGAAGCAAGTGAAACAGTTTAATTTAACCATATGGGAAGCAGTTCATTTTCCCTTTTCTCTTCTCTTTTTAAAGTACCTTTGTTGATAAATAATTATAAGATATATGACAAATATTACTCACCCAATTTAACCTCTCCCTGCTCAGTGAGCAAGATATTACCACCCTTGATGTCTCTATGGACCTTGAAAATTGAGTGCAAATAAGATAGACCCTACATCAAACAGAATACAAATTTAATCCCTTGGGCCTCAACCAATAATAAAATGTAAAATACATAAAGCGATGATTAAAGCTCAATGTTGCAAAAATGAGGAGCCAATTCAAGATAGACAACACATCCATGGGACCTATCAAGTGAAAATAAAGATAATAAAGGTTGTTCATCTAGACATTCAATAAAAAATAAAATTTTGCTGACACAATGAGCTTTTGGCTCAAAATAAATTGAAGTTATATATAAAATCAGGCAAGTTGTGCTTTCTACCAAAAATATTAAAGCTACAGAAAATTGAGATCTGACTCCAACATTGATAAATTCTTGAACCAATTCCCCTCAAGTGTATATTCTATGTAGTTTGTATAAAATGATGTCATTTATCAAATGCAACTTATGAAATAGAATGACACCTTCAATGCTTCTCTACATATATATGCTATCTGATGCTCCTCTAGAGGCTCCTCAGTGGTGTTCATCAAGTCAGCAACACTTCCACCCCCACAATACTCCATCACTATCTGCCAAGATGAAAATTTAAAAGAATTTGTAAAGATGTTGAGAATAATTCGATGAACATATTACATGCAAAACTTAATTCTACAAGGTCAATAGATTCATAAAACATTTGTTCACAAAATCAACAAAACGAAGAAGAATACACTTGCTCCTACCCAGAGATATTCTTCTCCTTGATAGCTTCCAAGGTAGCGGACCACATTTGGATGACTGCACTGTTGCAACATCTCAATTTCACCACGAATTTCTTCATAACCCTCCTCCTGGCAGAGATTAAATCGAGTCAACCATCAAGGTAAGCAAGGAGCTCAACCCAAGCAACCAAAAAATCAAATGAAGAAGAAAAGGTTTAATTGAATACACACCCCCTCACTTAGTGATATCACTTTGATGGCAACCAGCTCCGAAGTCCTTAAGTCTCTAGCTTTGTAAACAGCTCCATACGAACCTTTCCCTGCCATCCCCCACAAACGCCAAACATATAAAGCACAATCCATTCAGCTAGATAAAAATTTACCAATCCCAAACAGTATTTCCACTAAAATTCAGTTCAATCAAGAGCAACTCTACAAGCTCAAGCTGCACAACCCAATGTGGAAACAGAAATTCTGACTCACCGAGTTCGTTGAGCAACTCATACTTAGTGGAAGGATCTTCCCTAGTAACGCTATCAGGAATTGAACTAACTGATATCTTACATGGATGCTGCCAACTATCTTCGCCCTGAGAAGAAAAATTCCCTTTCTTCTGCTTCCCAAACCCTAATTCCCCAATCGCTTGCATACTCTCCACAGCCCTACTCATAGTGGAAGACGAATAAGCCCCACCTCCACCACTGCCACCACCGGTTCGCCTCACAACCGTCCCCGACACCGACTCTATATCATTTGAACGAAGTGTTGACTTCACCACAAACGTAGAGAAATTATCTTCCTCCTCCATTCTCCTTCTGGGGCTAGCATGATTCCGATCTCCAAAAGGCGAATTACGCGACCTCCTAACCGAGGCCATTGACGAAGACGACGAAGAAGACCGATTGCGGTTGGTTCTAACGATAACGGTCCCCGAGAAATCTCCATTGTCATCTTCGTCGCCATATTCGTCGTCGCCGGCGGTTCCGAAGTCCTTAGGGAGTCGTTGAAGTAGAGGGGGGAGAGATGAGTCGTCGTCGGGATGGTCTTTACAGAGCATCGTTGCGTAAATGTCCTCTTCCTCTTCTTCTCTTTTTCTGTATCCTCGGCTTCGACGTTCTTCTTCTTCTTCTTCTTCCTTCTCTTCATCTTCGTCGTCGTCGTTGTCGTGGATGACGACTGTGGAGTAAATATCGGATCTTTCACGGCTTTTGCGAGTGCCACGAGAACCAGAGGAGAAATCCATTGCAAGCGAGAGCGAGAGAGCAGACGAAGTTCAAGGAGGTCGTTGGAAGGCCAGATTGAGATTGGAGCTCAACCTGTTACCTGGTTGTGCTTGTGCTGCTTCATGGTGGACCAAGAACCATTTGCACACCAGCTATGGCAACTGGCAACTGGCAAACCAACGGTGGCAACGAACCACCGGCATTGGTTGAACCGGTACCCCTATTAACTTTTCGATTGTCTGGACACCCGACCGGCCATGTTGAAACCAAAACAATTTGTTAAAGCGGATAGATGCCTCGTTATTGTGCATGTGGGGATGTCAACGGGTCGGGTTTGCCTCAACCCTAACCCGATGTTACAGTTACTCGACCCGACCTTCCTTGGAATACATGATTTCCAAACCCAACCTGACCCATTGTCACGGGGTAGTTCTACAGCGGAAGAAACCCATGTGGCGTCCTGGCCAAAGCAGGCCAAGACAAGCCTTTATACGCTTAGAGGCTAGGAGTTGCTCGATAGGATGGCTCCACCAAAGTCAGTAGCACTGGATCATGACCTCAAGTCCAATGGCCGGGGCACTCTCCTGGCTCAGACCGGTCCATGGGAGGCGCCGCTTACGTGCTAAAGGGGGACAACCATAATGGAAGGCGACCATGCGCCGATGAGGTGACTTGGCACCGATGTGAAGGGTCTCCTGTATGCCGATGATGACAGGCACCTGTGTGCCATGATGATAGGCAACCGCTTGGGCCGGAACACACCCGTGCGCTAGGGGCAACGGGATAGCTCAATCAGCTTGGGCAAGGGGTTGGCGAGGTGAAGGGACATGCTTGAGCCAGGCCCGAATGCCAAGCCTCCCTTGAGTATCAGTAGCGCAGTGCCGGTCCAAYACTGTCCCCATGAGCAAGTGTGCGCCCATGAGGAGCCCTGGTAGCCATGCTAGCCGTTAACTAGGGCCACCCCGCAAGGGGATGAAGGTCTAGGAGTGCCAAGGTTAGGCACCCAAGGAGGTCGACCACCCCTCCTCAAAGAGTACGTTAAGCTTTTGATGGTCTGCCTGAAGATGACATCAGTTCTCCCAAAAATCTTATAGGCGAAAATGACGGGCATGTCCCTAACGTAAGCCTGCCAAGCGTAGGCAAAGCTAAGCCTGTACTGAACCGTCACACCATGGCATTTCAATTGTATTTTTTTAATACATTTTAAAGGCCTAAAATCCATTAATTTAAGTTTGGAAATTGTTTTATAGAATTTAAGATGTCACTTTTCTCATTAAAAAAAAAAAGAAAAAAAAATCAAAACCAATATGTAAATAAATCTTAAACTTTAAAGCTATAGAATTATAAGTCAAAAAGTTACAAGAATACATTGTATATATGCAGGGTATCATGACCCGGTGAACGGGCCAGCCAAAACCCGAGCCTGACTCAGGTTGAATAATCAAAACCCTAACACAACCCTATACGGTCGGTTCAAGCCGGGTTTACTATTTAACCCAACCCAGTGACATCCCTAATGTCATCATCTTTCTATGTATATTTATTTTTTGATTTTTTTTTAAATTGAACCAAATAAATCAACTTCTTTAAATTCATCATCAACTCTCTATTCTCTTTCTCTCATAGTCTCGTTAACTCCTTTGATTATCTCTCCTCGTTAACCATTTCATTAACTCTCTATCTCTTCTAATAATTTCACTCCACTAATTCTCTTTCTTCTAAATTACTCCATTAAATTGGTTAAAGTTCATCAATTATTTTTCCTTTTTTTGTTTTTTTCATTTTTCATTTTTTATTTTTATTTTTTATTCTTTCTTGTCTCTTCATTATTATAACAAACCAAAAGCAATTTGCTTAGGGGTGATCATTTCAATTCAGCTCGAGCCCATGCCCGCATCAGGCCCACAAATTTCAGGACTAAGCTTGGGCCTAATACTTCAAGACCAATGTGAGCCTAGATCAGCCTATAAATAAATAACTATTAAAAATTAGTTAATAAAAACATCATAATTGGTTAAATCACCTAAAAATAATGAAAGAGTGAAAGTGAGTGGGAGAGAAAATATTAATCTCATCCAAATTCCACTCATTTCTTTCATATTCAAATTCTATTCAATTTGTTATTTATCAAGAAATTGTAATTTGAAATCTAATAACTAAAATTTAAAAAAAAAAAACTATTGAATTTTAACAAGTTTTTTATGAAGCAGCTATTAAAAATTAATAAAATTAATAGTTCATAAATTAAAAATTAAAATACATTTAAGTTCTATTTAAAAATAGCTAAACCATTTACTCTATGTAAAAATATAAAAATTAATTAAAATAATAAAACTAATAATGGCCCAATTATAAATGTCATAAGACTCGTTCTACTTAGGGATGATCGTCTGTAACTTAGCCCAACCCAGCTAGACCTACAAATTTCCTAGTTCAAGCAACTATTTTCTTCTAAAGTAGGTCTAGGTCAAGTTTACACCAAGCCCACACATAATGCAAGGCAATAGAGTTATAAATATATTGGATTTAGATTGGATCCAAATGCATCTGCATTCGATTATGAAATCTCTATATTCACATCCGCATCTTATTATTATGTTAGATTTTTGGATCAGATTTGGATTTAATCCACAACCATCTTAGAAAACTAGTTCTTTTTTTAAATATATACCTATAACAAATGTATATAAATACAAAACATTAAATTTATCAATCATATGCTTTATATAATTATACATAATATTTACATGTTTACATAATTATACTACATATATGCATAAAATAATAATTCTTTTAATTGAGCCAGATGGGATTAAATCCACATCTAACCCTCTTATTAATCGGATACAAGTTCTAACATCCAAATTTGGGATAATCAGATTCAAAATCAAATTGGGTGTCAAACTTTTGGAATCCATTAGCAGCCTTAGTGGGTAGGACCTAAGCTAAGTAACCCCTAAGCTTGACCTACAAGTTATATACATATATGGCAAATATTATTATCAAATAGTTAAATAACAAAATTTATATTAATATGTAGTTATAATTTTTATGATAAACTCAAATTAAATAAAACATTCAATTTGTAATAAAATCATAGTTTTTATAATTAACACAAAAAATCTTGTCCCTATCCCGGGCCTGGACAAAATATTATTATGCTTAGGGTGTGGGACGAGCTACAATATGCAACCTTAAAAATTCTTAACACATTATTAAAACCTGGCCCAATATATTTATTTATTTATTTTTATTTGGGAGGGGGAGGGGGGAGTCAGTGGGCTACACAATGGGGATAGTTCATCCCCCATAGCTCATTCAGCTTCAACACTAATATTTTTATCTAAAAAATAGTTTAAACCCCAAAAATAATGCATGCATAAGTAGAGGTGCAAGTTGGGTATCTGATTTAAAAATTTTACATTTTACATAACATAAAGCCTATTGTTTTAGGCCAGGACCAAATTTAACAAATGCTTAGCCCAAGTTGCAGCCTTATGCACGGTTGTATTCAGTTTGGTTCAATCTAGTTACAAATGTCACATTGCTCTTAGAGGTGCAAATTGGACATGTTGGGTCAGGTCGAGGATCAACCCAAGCAACCAAAGTCTTAAACCTCGATTTCGCGCTTAGATTGATTTAATTATGACTATAACCTAATTTTATATATTTACTAATATTGTAACATTTTATATATTTACTAATATTTATAAAAAATTGTAACATTTATTCATTAATAGAGTAAAATAAATAAAATTAAATACTAAGGCCAGTTTGAAAAGAGTACAAGTACAAATATGCACAGTGCAAATACATAAAAAATGCAAGGTTTTGCACTTTACATATTTGTATTTGTGCTCCCAAAATAAGCCTAAGGATGTGTTTGGTTGCAATGCAAATAAATTTGCATTGATGCAAAACTATGGCAGTGCAAATGATTTGACTGTAAATTCTAACCTATTTTTGTTTCAAATTTTAGCTCATTTTGTTTGATTGCAGTACAAATGAAGTAAATTAAGACATGAAGAAGAATAAAGTAAAATCTAAAACAAAATTAAACAATAATTACAATTTTTTACATTTGCACTTTCATACATTTGTACTAGTACAGATAAAATTGCATTGCAACCAAACACAGCCTAAAGGTTGAGGGTCAACCCAAGACCTTGAGATTGGACTTAGATTAATTAATTTAATTATGACTAAGAAAATCAATCTATAAATTAATTTAATTATGATTACAACCTAATTTTATATATTTACTCATATTTAAGTAATATTTAAAAAGTATAACATTTAATCATCAATAAGGTAAAATAAATAGAATAAAACACTAATAGATAATATGAAAATAATTATTTTATTAAGTAATTACTAGTAATTTATTATTTTTGTTAAAAATTATTAATATAATCAATCCAAGTTACTAAATTATTTTTACAATAAATTATTAAAATAAAGATTAATTATTTTAAGGAACATTTCATTCATTCCTTATAATAGTTTTTAGTTTCTATTGTTTCACTTTCCCTTGAAAACTCCATGCATTGCACAAGTCCCCTCTAATGAAGGTGAAATCCCATTGCCAACAGGCTAGGGCTGGAGGGTTGTGTACCCCATGAAGCATAAAAGTTAAAAATCCAAATGCCATATTTTTTTTTGGTAAAAATGTTTGGTGTATTAACACAATTAAAAAGTCATAAATCCTGCAGGCTAGAGGTGTTCTTCTTATGGGCATGTTTGTGTTTCATTTGGTTCACAAATACAACCAAAATTTTGTAAGGAATTTTCATTTTGTTGTTGGCTTTAGGACAAATAAACCATAGTTCCATCAAAATCCTTATTTTTTGGATGGGTTTGACTATGATGTTAACAAGACATGACACCAAAAAAACTTGTACCCAATCAAACGGCATCATAAAAGTGGTAACAAAGAATATCACACTTAAGTGTGATGTATAAATGGTTAATTAATTTTTAAGCAAATGATCAAGGTCCAAGCCTCTTAACTCTCATTTTCTTTAAAATGCAAATTTATTAAAGAAGTATATACATTAAATACGCATAAATGAATGAAACAAAGTGGTGGGTTAATGGTCACAACACAAGAATATATATAAATAAACAACACAAAAATATATATAAATAAGAAGTCGTGACTTCAAGTCTTACTAATAACATTTTGAAAAATTCCCTCATAAAATGACTTGGGTGCTGTATAAAATCGGGGCCGGCCGTTT